TAACTTTCGAGATTGTTTTCGCATATGGGTTGGTGATTGATGCTGTGACAGCTGGACAAATTTCTAACACAGGTCACCTGATAGATAGATACGTAGAGAGTATGGCTGGTAGAGAAGGACCAACCGAAAAAGATCAAATCTTTTGGCTTCCCCATTATTGTACTCGCGAAATAACCATATAGGCAAAGATTCGCCTGGTACGGTTTTTAGCGGCCATGTTGCAGTCTAAAACTCCATTTTTTTTATTTTTTGTCTGAAATGTTCTCTCAAGGCCAATGAACGATCTGAAGTAAACAACAAGCGATCATACACGTGTCCAAGAAGAGACTCCGACCAATTTGGCCGTTGTGATTCATTCTGGAAGGGTGTTACATGAATTAGAGTGGCAGGGCTTCACTTTGAATTTTCCAGTATTTTATCGTCTTTATCATTTGCCGTCCGGTTGATCATAGAATTCCTAGAGCGGTAGCTGGTAACGTCTCCATTCGTCCCTTTTGTGATATGTAGTATATGGGTGTTGGAGACATTCGCTTCTTTGGTCCAGAGCTTTCGTGAGGATAAGGTGGTGCATGCTTTGTCCCATGTCCCTCGAGCGAGGACGATCTACTGAGCTACACTGGCTCGCGACAAGGACGAATTGAGGCGCCTGGCGCCCGCTCGAGAAAATCGATGATCATGGGGACGACGGGTGGCACAGGTGATTTAACCTTTTGTTTTTGCACCTCGTAAACGGGACTGGAAAATTCAATGTAAAATTAACTTGTGCGTTAATTCAACTAAATACTAAAATCAAAAGGGCTGCTAGCTCGAGTTCTCATCTCGATCTATAGCTCAGAAACAATCGTCTCTACGCAGAATTCTGCTGCTTTTTTGTAATCATTTATTAATTATTTTTCATTACGCAGCCGTCTAAATTTGGAAAATAACAATCTACAACAACCTATATTGTCTAGTATAGACGAAAAATCTGAAGGTTACCACTACGATTGAAATAAGTCACACAAGAATATCATTTCCGCCTCCGATTAGTGATCGTTGGCCTCATCGAGTTGTGAAGGAGGGATAATCTTTCAGCCGAAACCGTGGCACGAAGGATTAAAGTGCAATGGTGCTCTATGTTTTATGTTGTTCTCCTTGTTAAACAACAATCACTGGCGGAGAATTCATAACAAAAGGCTTCATGGCTCGTACTTTGACCTTTCGGCCTATATCGTCGGTCTCGAATGGCCCCTCTGAGCTACGACTTGTGGCAAGGCTTCGACAAAGGGGCGTTGATGGGTACAAATTCCTCCCTAATATGAACCATATAAAAAGGTAATATGGCGTAGATGATAAATGGAAATACTCTCCTCTCCTGTGATATCTGAATCACATACCTATACATGGAAGGGAGACTGTTTCCTTTCTCTTTAGTTTGATTGAGGACTAGTTAAGGAGGGAGTTCCGACAAATTCTACAGAACTACCTAATTTCCAACTTTTATAATTCATCTATTTACTTTATATTCCATTCATTGATGAAGTGGATAGATGGTCCCTGTGCATTCTGGACATATCTTTCCGTATTTACTATCATCTCTAAAAGTTATTTTCAAAGCAACTTGTCTCTACTGTTTATAGTGCTGAATTATGCTGATGGATGGATTCGTTGCGTTGTGCGAGGACAAAAACCAGTTCTTTACCATCCGGTTTAGTCATCGACTTCTAAAAATAGTTGAGACCTTCCCTTTTTATCACCTCCGTGAACTTTATACTACCGGTAATGGAAAACAGTAAACTTCGGCCTGGACTTTGCAGAATGAACTTTTCAATGAAGGATCGTGGGGCGAGCCTTTAACGTAATCGTGTAATGTTTGCATCATCCTTATTTACGATGTAGACTGATAGGCTGATTCGTGGTTGGGCTACCTAGACGAGTAGAAAGGCTAAAGAGCTGCAAAGGTCTAAAAAGCGTTCAGGACCAAGGATTTTAAGAACTGGTGGACAAGATTTTCTGGACCCAGCTTTGAGAAGCTTCTTGACCAGTAGCTCAAAAACAACTGTTTTGTGAGTAATCCATGTACTGGTAACATGTTGAGGTTCGATGCTACAAACCTGTCCAGTTTGGGTAAATAATTCGAAAAATCAAATTTGCGCTTGACATGAGTCAACAATTCAGTAGTGCCCTATTGGAATATTTGTGCGAACCATCTTTTTTAGTAGAATAATGGGGTCGTCGGTAAAAATCTGAAGAATTGCAAATAAGCACAGCTCTTATCCTTCACAAACCGTTAGCCCTCATCAATCCTAACAGGGATACAAAATACTTCCTTCAAGAAAGTAGTGATAAAATTTATTCCCCTTTTACATCTTGAGAGTGTCTATTTGTCATTTGTTCAATCCAACACCTTTACTGTTCCGCATAAAAGTTACATGCTTGACGCGTTACAGAGTTACAGGTGCGCCGCCGATCATATGCTTAACTGTTACTGTATTACAATTACCTACAGAATGAGCTGTTATTGAGGATAGTTTTTTAAATTTATTTATTCTTAGTTCTTACAGATTTTTCAGACACGCGAGGATCTCAATGTTATCTTTTGTGTATCACCAATTATTCTGGATTATAGGCTATTCCAAGAATGGGAAAGAATTAAATCTTTCAGTTATTTCACATATAATATTCCCAAGACTACACTATTTTGCTACTACTTACATTAGAATACTCCACTTGGTTCCAAAGAATGTTTGCTGTAGCTGACAATCAATTAGTAATTCTTGTATTCCTAGCAAAACTTGCGCAAGACGTATTCAAATTTATTCCATCGCCATATATTTCTGTATATTGTATGATCGATTTGAATCATGACCTGAATCGCATTAAATTCATGTCTGCAATGTAGCAAACGTTTACGATGGAATAATACCAATGGAATTTCGTTTGCAAGAAAGCCATAGTTTCGGGTTAGCGCGTCAGCAACGCCGAGTATAACCGCCTCAGCTGCCCGCCAATTTTGGAGTTGATGTATTCTCATGGGTTCAGGACTCTCGGCATCAATATTAATCAAACTGTTTTCTATGCTACTTTTATTATACAATTTATATTCATACCAGTAAAACACGCTTATTAACTATGATAGCTCGTAATGATGATGAAACGAAACAAAAAAAANAAAAAAAACTGAACTAATGCAGCCCTAGACCGTTCTAACTGTCTATATATGTCTACACAGAACTGTAGACTATTCTTGAATCAGGGATAAACAATTAGCACATTTTGTAGCACAATAAATCTGCATATCATGCATAGAAAGGCACATAAATGCTCTAATTAAATGGAGGAAAAACAAGTATTCAGAGGCACTCGTAAACATAACACATTGAATGACTGGATGAAGAATGAATATGAAAAATAGACCGGTCGTTGACGAGATCATGTTGGCCCTAACGACGGCGACGCCTCAGATGACAAGGAGGGACCTTCAGAAAGCGCTCAATGCTTTCATCAGAAGATCATTACGTCGCTTTCGTTCCTCTTCCTTTCGCTGTTTATCCACATCCTCCACAGTCATTTCGGAATCATCAAGTTTCAGGTAGACATAGACCTGGAAAGGACACCTTGAAAGCTCAGTTTCACCTCTTTTTTGTTTACTAGACGGTTTTGTAAATAAAAAATACTGTGCTCTTCAGAGGATAATTTGCCACTGAACTTGTACGGGTCTTTTAGATCTTATATTTTGCTATTACAAAGACAATTAGGTGATCAAGGATGAGAAATGTTATTTACATTTTTTTT